GCTAGGATCTGGAACCAACTTCCAAGCGAAGTGCTGCTGGCTCCTACCCTGGGGGTCTTTAAGACAAGGCTAGACAATCACCTTGCTGGGGTCGTTTGACCCCAGTACTCTTTCCTGACATGGCACGGGGTCAGACTTGATGATCTGCTCAGGTCCCTTCCAACCCTAGAAACTATGAAACTATGAAACTGAGTCTGCTCCAATGCACTGTAATTACAGTGTGCTGGAGCACCCTCACTGCACATGTATAGGCGCCCATTGTGTTCTTCCATTTGTAGGCTACTCAAGTAACACAAAACAGCTTTTGGCTTCTCTAAATTTATCATAACCCATTCCAGGCTCCCTTTGACCTGTGGAACAGAAACCTCATAGTATTATGTGCAATGAACACTACCCTTGGCATGTCCCATCTGGCAGTGCTTGTAAAGAGCACTGGGGAGTGAAGGGTCATTTATGCCCCCACCAGAGAAAATTCTCTGATTGATATCAGCACATTAATGTGGCATTTGGGGCTAGTGAGGGAAACAATATCTCCCAAAGTATAGAAAGATCTAACCGTACACAGGTATGTCATGATACCAATTTAAGGTGCTGTAATGTAGCTGCAACATGTTTATCTAGTGATACTAGTGTAGTAAAATGGTTGGAACTTTAACCATGTTTCATTCAAGGTTAGTGTTACAGTGATCTAACCTACTTGTGTTTGGAGAGGAGTGCATACACCTACTGATTACATCATAACAGTTGATGAGCTCCAAGTAGCAACACTTCACTCCCCTTTTAAAGCAGCTGAACATTACGAGTCTCCACAGCTTCAGTGCATCTTTAACAAAACTGTGTGACATAGAAGCTATATACCGCAGTTAGACTTCATCCTGCAAATGCTTAGGTCAGATTATTCACACACATAAAATTATGCATGTTCGCAGTGTGGCGGGTGCAGAGATCCCACCTCAGGAACACAGCTGGGTATTCGTATCCCTCCGCTGTTTCCACCACGTGAGG